TAGGCTCGATTACCAGCCGCTGTTCGGGAAAATGAGCCCACGCTCATCCCCCGAAGGCACGGCTGGAGTCGTGAGCTTGGCATTGTTAATTTCCACCAATGAGAAACGTGCCTGCACGAATCGAGCAGGCATAAATTATCTTTCACGGATGCAAAGCAGTTGTTTGGGCTGGCGTTCGATCGTCTTCAAGAGACATTTAACCTTGAAACTCTCGAAGATATATGCAATAGGAATCGTTAATGTCAATTAATGGGCATGATGTCTTTGTAATTCAACCGACAGGATGGATTTTTCATCCGCACCAAGGAAATACATCACGGAAAGTTCGCGCTAAGCCGGGAGCTAAGCCACTACAACCGCACAAGGCAACTAATGAGATCCATTTGGACATTCGACATGTACTATACAATACACAAAACAGTCGGTAAACTTGTGTGATGAATTTTATCTGGGATTTGATGTAAAATCGTGTGGTGCCAGAACGCGACGTCTCTGGCGAAATTGCATCAAAACATATTGTTTCTTGTCACGGACTGGTCATGTTACATCTTGTAATATTTTTCATCCCGGGTTTTCAGTCATATAGCTTCACAATAAAGGCGAGAAATCAACATCCTTCGCGGAATATTTCAGATCAGATCCTTTTCTTTCGAAAATATAAGAGATAATGGAAAATAAACGAATGTCACGAGCCGGAGTAGCGTTACATAAATTAATTTTTTTGATTACGTCACAGACACGGCTGTTCGCTCACGCGTCCAGCCGTTCTTCTCGGGGAGGAACGAAGACCGGACCTCGAGAGAGCGCGGAAATCGAGCCTATCCTCTTCCCATTTAGACAAATACATTTCAAACAAAATGAAGGAGAGACCGCACAGATGTAGCTTTATGGTGGATATTCAACCAAACATAGTCACCTTTGAACCTAGTACATGATATTTGAAGCTTGCTCAGTATATGGCCTAAGCTCCGCCACAAGACTCCTATAGCTCAGTGGGTGAGAGTGTCCGACCGGTGTGCGGAAGGTCATAGGTTCGACTCCTGTTGGGGGAACTCGGAAATGTCACCGAGTAGCTTGTGTCCGGCTGATTGAATAATATATTTCTCAACACAGTCTTTGTTAATTTTGACAAAGCTGCGTACAGATAAAGTGCATGAGAAGGACTCATGGGGCAATACCATTACAGTGACTTCTCTTGAGAACACTGATAAAGATATCGGAGTTCAACATCGAAATTCTCTCCACCTATCACCAGGGAATTTGGTCAGGTTCATCAAGACGATATCCCATATTGTAGCTCAGGATGTTTTTTTACTCTTGTACTTGACCGAAATGTACGATATAGTTTAATAAGAAGTCAATATGTATATCACGTTGATTTTTTATCTAGAATCATCTCTCTATTACCAAGGTGTTTCATCAGTTTTACTTTGGAGCTTTTTAGTTCACTGATTTCGTGAACTTAGCGGCGCAGGCGTAGAAAGGGGAGGGACCCACCGGCGTAGGCTAGATTCGTTTCGGAAATGTTTACTGTACGGTAAAGACATAAATTGAAATCAGTGAGCCAACGCAGGGCTGCATAATTTCGTCCAATAATGTTCTGAATTTACATAAAATAAGTTCTTGAAGGTAAAAATGCGAAACCTACTGGTTAACTTTTGATAACTGTTTGACATCTCTTTGTTGGTTTCCCGAACTTCTCAGCCAATCAAAGTGCACTGAATTCTGAAGCACGTGCAAGCTATGACGTATCTGACGGCCTCTTTTGTTTCCGATTGGTTACTGATGGGAAAACCAATAGGAAGATTTCAACTTAAAGGAGCTATGTCAGGGTTTGTTCAGCCAGTAAATTTTCTGTTCGTCATTTGCAATCCGTGTTAATCTTCTCCATCCTTAACCATCCTTGTTCCTGTTTGGTTTCTAATTACCTCTTTAATATTTTTCTACCTTAATAAACACAATTATTTTTAAGTTTCTTTCAATTTGAAGATATTCAGTAAAACTGACTTAGAAGCTATGTCACGATATTTTAAGTCATTTATGCGAAGTGCAAAATCACCTTCAAATCGAAGAAAGCCTCAAAATAATAGTTTAAAAGGTAGAAAAACACCAAAGAGGTAATAAAAAACCAAACAGGAGCAAGGATGGTTGAGGATGGAGAAGATTAAGACGGATTGTGTATGGCGAACTTGAAAAAAAATGGCCAATTTTTTCAAGATGCGCCGCCATCCGTGATGGTGACCGTGTAGTTCCTTTACCGACTGAACAGGTTTGTAGAGAGGCCCAAGTTGGCAACTCACGAGAGTCACTGATCAGCAAGACTCATTTGTTTCTCGTGTTTTGCTCATTACTGCGCGGTAACACACACCGGAACAAAGGCAATATATAAAATAACCGCCGAAGGGCAGAACCACTTTAAATCGACGAGCAAAACAACGATCAGTATGTAGTCAGAAGACGACTAAAATCCCATCTATTTGTCTTTAGTGTCAAGTAAACTCCACAAAAGTACGGGAATGAATTTGATACACGCTTAGTCAAGTGGAAAAGACTTTAGAGAGTCTATGATCTACCAATCACCATAGATAGATAGATAGAAGATAGAAAACTTTATTAACGTGTCAATGCCTTATAGCCTGGGAAAATCCCATACTAATTTGGGGACACAAATGATTTTATTTGCTTTTATTGGCTTTAATTGACTTTAATTTATTTATGAGCTTTATCGGCGTGAACACTATTTCAAGGTTCCACCCCTAGCTTTTCAAGAATACCACGAAGATTCACTATCGATAATCACAAATACTCTCAAGTATATAGCCAGTGAAGCTTACTTTTAGCTTCAAAGTGATTACAAATAAACTTGGTATGTCAGTTATACGGCAATGAAGGAAAACAAACATTAACCAGTACTAACCACTGGAATGTCACTGGATGATAAAGTACTATTAGAACTAGATGCAAGTTTGGTATATGCACTATATACATCTTTATTATCATGGCATTTTAGAGTGCGAATACGCACAAAGACGAGAGCAAATATGAGACCGTATTACACGGGTCTTAGTCTCCCTGACCCCGCGCTACGGAAAAACACTGTTGAAAGCCTATATTTTAGAAGAGAATTATGAAATAATTTATCAGCGGAAAGTTGTGTAATACTGAATAACCTCTATATATACCATGTGGCACTTGAGGCGGCACATGTGAACTCTAGTTAGGGCGGTACCCCACAAGAGCACAATAGTGTTTACCACAACTTTGTATTTTGATCCTTTTTGGTCATGTTTACATGCGATGAAACCACATCACTTATACTCCGGCACATTTGAACATGAGTTATTTATGGGTGGTACCACAACAACACAACAAGCACAATAGTATTTAACCACAACTTTGTATTCAGTTTGCTGATGAAACAACAGAACAAATCACGGAGTTTAAATCACTTACCTAACATGTTATTACGGATGCTTCAAGTTCCGTTATCTGCTTAGAAGAACTGACCTGGTCTGTAGGTGAGGCTATTTTAGGTGATAGAGATATCTTTCTTCTTTAGATAGTTACGAGCAAGCCGTTAAAATCTGAAAACGTAATATCATTGCATGCAAAATTTTGTTATAACAAACAAAGCGATGATTTCTAGTGAGATCTATAGAGCACATTCTTAAATACAAATTTTAGCCTGCGAGCAAGCTCTCTTGGCGTTTTTTGGGGAAAAACCCCAGAGAGCTTGCTCGCAGGCTAATACAATTGACCTAAATATGATTTATATGTGACCGGACAGACTCAGTTGCTTACAGTCAATACTTTTGCACTACCGTTTCGTATTTCTTTGCGTTTGATTTTGATTTTGTTGAGAGCCGTGTTGAGGCCGTTTGACACCCGCCCTTTGTCTCACATCTTCTCAGACATTTCTTTTGTTCTCGAAATGTTGAAGCCTTTGACACGGCATGGTCTCAACATCTCTCGACATGACTCAACAAATGTTGAGAGAACGTCGAGACCGCTTGATCGGGGCTTTAAAGACAGGTATCAGGGATGGCGCATTTTGAACAATTGCCATTTTTTTCAAGTTCGCGCATCGCAATCCTTCTTAATCTTTCTCCATCCTCAGCATCCTGTTCCTGTTTGGTTTATTATCACCTCTTTGGTGTTTTTCTACCTTAGTAACTATTATTTTGAGGCTTTCTTCAATTTGGAAGGTGATTTTACACTATATCGTGATATAGCTCCTTTAACAACTTGCCATTAATACATAGTTTCTTTTTGAAAAGCACCTAGGATTATTCATTACTTGTATGGGCGCCATCTTGCTAAGCCAGAGCTGACTGACGGTACTATACTGCCCCAAGAGACTCTTGACTGCCCCAAAAAACGTCAGAGAACTCGTTAATCTTTGAAAAGAAGAAGAAAAAGAAAAGAAAAAAAAGAAACTGATGAACATTAGACAACCTCAAAGCAATCCAATGTCATTTGTTTAAAATTCCCACAATTTTGAAACCGAGCATTCTCTAACTTGGCTTTGATTCTCTTCGCCTCAGTTCCGGTAACTCAGTAATATAATATATAATGAGTCTTCACTGGTTAATAGCCTCCTACCTGTTGAAGCTAAGTC